AAGGTGACCGGGCGCGCGGGGATGAGCGCAGTGAGCCGCGGGGGTTCGGTCCCCGGCGCGCGGGGCTTTGGGGAGCGGGGACGCCGGGCAGGGTCGCGGGTGGAGGGGAAGCGCCCAGAGCCTCCTCTCCTGCGCCCCCCAGGGCCCGACCTCCCGGGCACCTCCGCCGCCGCCCTCCCCGACCCCCGGCTCCTCGGGCGCTGCTGGCTGTAGCGTAAGGAGATTAGAGCCGCGCGGGAGGAGGCGCGGGGCGGCTTGGGGGGCCGGGCTAGGCCAGGCAGGGGCCCGGCTGCGGCTGGGGCTGCCTGGGACGGAGGACAGGTCCGGGCTGAGCCGCTGCTCGGGGAGCGTGGGGCCAGGGCCAGATGCCCAGGCCCGCACCGGGCTGCTGAGCACTGGGGATCTGCCCTGGGAAGGAGGTGGGGTGGGCAGCATTAGAAAGCAAGGGGCTTGGAGCCGGGGCCGGGCCGCCCTGAACCGAGCAGGCCCTCTCCCTGCAGGCGGCGGCGATGGCGGAGAAGACGCTGGAGGCCGTGGGCTGTGCGCTAGGGCCGGGGGCTGTGGCCATGGCTGTGGCGCTGGAGGACGGGGCGGAGCCCCCTGTGCTGACCACGCACCTGAAGAAGGTGGAGAACCATATCACAGAGGCCCAGCGCTTCTCCCATCTCCCCAAGCGCTCCGCTGTGGACATCGAGTTCGTGGAGCTGTCCTACTCCGTGCGAGAAGGACCCTGCTGGCGCAAACGCGGTAGGCAGCAGCCGTCCGGGAGCGTCTGGGGGGCCGACAGGCTCCCGCCTCTCATCACAGTGCACGCGGTTGGGGTACAGAACCCCTGCTCCCCACACCTGTGAACACTGCAGGATGCTAGGTTCCATTGGTTACTCAAGTAAATAGACCCTAGGACCTCTGGTCTTTAATGAGTTTTCCTTCTTTAATCTTTTGGAGGGTCCCCACTTGTGAGGGCTGGTGTGAAAAGGAGGTGTGTGCAAGGGGCCTTCTGGATGTTTAACAATACCCTTGCACCTGTATTTAAAGATGTTCTCGTCCCTGTCACCTAACTCCATTCTTGCCACAGTCCTAAGCAGGAAGGGTGGAGGTTTGGCAAGATAGATGTCACCCTTCTGTTACTAATAAGGAAACTGAGGCTCAGGGAAGTTACCTTGACTCATGTCCCACAACGAGTAAAGTGGTAGAGCTGGGCCAGAAGCCCAGAAGAGCAGTTCCCCCTCCACCCTTCCTTCCCATCAGGACTGGTACCCTGAGCCCAGACCACCCCTTGCATGGCTATCCTGGGTAGCTTGAGCTTGGAATGGAGAGGCTCAGTTTGTTTCCCAGGGCTGGGTGTGGGCAGGGGTGGAGCTGGGATATTATTGTCTCAGGTTTAAGAATTAGGTTTAGGGTGCTTCAGAGAAGAGCTGGCCATGAGCTGTCTCTGCGTTCTCCACCCTTACTCCCATGGTGACAAAAACCCACAGGGTACAGCCAGTGGAAACTGAGGCACCTAGGCTCTCTACCCAGCTCCAGGTCCCTAAGGACCTTCTCTCAGGCCTGAGATTAGCTGTGGGGAAAAGGATGATGTTATATCCTTAGCCCTCTCATTTCTTCTTAACTACCTCCCTACCCCTGCCCCAGTGCTGAGGATGGAGCCCAGGGCCTTGTGCATGCTGCCACCTACTCTACCTCTCAGATACAGTCCTACCTTTAAAAAAAAAAACTCTTTTAGAATTTTGAGAGGGAGTCTTGCCAAGTTGCTCAGGCTGGCCTCGGATTTGCAGTTTTTCTGCTGCAGCCTTCTGAGTAGCTGGGAAGACAGGTATGCCCCCCCACCTGTCTTTTCATAACTCTGAGAAATGGAGACAAAAAGAAACGTGGCTAGATAGGTCTGCTTTTCCTTTGACCTTGCTAGCCCCGTCCTGCTTTACTGTCCATTTTGCTGCCTCTTTCATCCCTTAGCCCTTCCATCTCTTTCTGCCCTCTGTCTTCTGCCCTCCTCTCTGTGACTCGTCCTTTCCATTGAATCCCTTGCCCCTTCTCTAGAGACCAAGAACAATTAGGGGTAGGCAGAGAGGAAAAGAGCAAGGGATATGGAAAGAGTGTGCTGGTGCACACCTATATTCTCAGCACTCAGAAGGACAGTTGCTATAAGTTCAAGGCCAGCCTGAGTTACATAGTAAGATGCTGTTTCAAAAAAGCAAAACAAAACAGCCTCCCTAAGCCAGGTGTGGTGACACAGGCCTGAAATCCCAGCACTCAGGAGACTGAGGCAGGAGGATCACTGGGAGCTTGAGGCCAGCCTAGGCTACATAGTGAGTTCCCATTATTATTAATAATCTCAATTAATATTAATAATAACCCTACTAAGTCTTTTGGAACAATATTATGGGGTTTTCTTTGTTACTGGGAATCAAACTCAGGACCTTGAGCTTGCCAGGCAGGTGCTTGTACCACTGAGCTATACTCCTGGCCCTGTTTTTGTTTTTGTTTTGTTTTTTTGATACAGGGTCTTGCTATGTAGTTCAAGCTGGCCTGGATTCACTATGTAGCCCAGGCTGGCCTTCAACTTGAAGTGATCCTCCTGAGCCTCCCAAGTGCAGGGACTACAGGGGTGTGCCACCATGCCCAGCTCTGGAGCAATATTATGATCCTTCTTTTACAAATGAGGGCTTAGAGGCCCTAAAGATTGACTTCACAGAATTGCAGAGTTATTGACTGCAGCAGGACTAGAACTCTGATGTCTCTCCAGCCCGAAGGCCTGGCAGGCCTCTTGCATGTGAAGCAGTTGGGGTCCAGAGACACGGGTTTCTACTCACACAGAAGCTGGATGACCTTGGGCAGGTTGCTTACCCTCTCCCCATCTCATTTATCCATAAGCAAGGATGGTAGCGGTATACACTGGGTGAGCTCAGGGCATCTGCATCTGTGAAAGTACTTAACGAAAGGCAAGGAAGTGTAAGCTGATATTTGTGCTAGGCCCCAGCTTTTGACCAGCCGCCTGGCTGCAACTAAAGGCAAGGAAAGTTCATTCTTGCCAGTTGCTTCCCTTGCACAAGACATGACTTCCTGTGAGTGACACTGATAGGCATGGGGTGGAGGGCACCACTCAGCAGCCTTTTGACTGACTGTGAGGGCGCCTGGGGCAGGGGACTGGAACCCATGACTTCCTTCTTAGTCGAGAACTTGCTGTGTGACTTGATTGAGTTCCTGCATGTCCTGGTTCTGGTCCTGGGTGCCTCAGCCATGTTGTCAGAGGAGCAACCTGGCAGGCAGTGTGGCCGGGCCCTGAGATGGTCAGGTCTCCTCCTAAGGGACACTGGGTGCAGTGGGTGGAGGTGGGGTAAGCCGTCCTTTTGCTCTCTCTGCTGAGTGGGGACTGGGCGTCGTGGCTTGGCAGTAGGCGGTAGTGAGCACAGTGCTAGGTAAGGGGTGAGGGCATGGTGTCATCCCCTCACCGGGGTAGGTTGCCAAGACCCTCCTTGCTGGCTTCATCCTTCCTCTCCACCCCCATTGCACCAGGACTCCCTGTAGAGTCTCTCCTCTCCGTCCCCCTGTTCTCTGCATACATTTGGTCCTCCTTTTACATCGCAGAGCTTTCCCTCCTAATGCCTGGAGAGCCTCTGCCTTTTGAAAACTTGCTGATCATTAGCTCAAATGTCACCTCTTCCAGGAAGCTGCTCCTGATTTCCCCCTTAGCCATCCACTGTCATCAATGCCATTTTCTTCATTCTTGCGGCACATTATTTATACCCTCATTTTTACTGTTCTCCAGGTCACAGATTTCTTTTGTTTATCTCTCTTACCTAGACTCTGACCTTCTTAAGTGTCAGAACTGCCCTTCCTCATGTTCTTGCTCCAGTGTCTGGTACCGAGCTTGGTATATAGTGGATATCAAAAGCATTTGTCAAATGGGATTAATAGTACAATATTTCTTCGTAAATTCTCCCTACATAGCAAGCACTATGTTATGTGCTTTACCTTTGCTCATCTCATTGCATCTGCTCAACAACTCTATGAAATAGACAGAGCATCCTCATTTTACGGAGGGACCTGGAGCTCAGAGAGGTTAAACAACTTGCCTGGGGTCACACAGCTGGTAGGTGTGGAGCCAGGATTTGAACCCATATCCACCTGACTCCATACTGGTGTTCTTTATGCATAGGCTGCCTCCTGTGAGTGAAGGAAAGGTGAGATTTTTCTGGGCAGCTGAAGAGGGCAGACAGAACACAGAGAAGGCAGTTTTTCTTTTTTCCAGGATGGGGAAGAAGCTCTGCAAACACACACTTGTACAGCAAAAACACTTGCTGAGCATCTACAGCATGCCAGACAGACTGTTACAAAGACGAGTAAGACAGACCCTGCCTGTCTAGAGCTCACCGACTAAGAGCCGGAGGGGGTGAGCGACAGGCACATCAACTCACAAACATGCTGGCGTATCAACAGTGTCAGAGGCACAGAGAAGACAGGCAGCCAGTCCAGGCTGGACCAGCGGGAAGGTCCTCCTGAGATGGGGGCCCTGTGACACAGAGGAGGCAAGGGTCTTCTAGAACCTCAGTCTCCTTTCCATGGGCATCTGTGACATCCATGGGTTCCCCACAGTCTCCAGGAGATTGTCACCTCTGGTACTTTGACATTAGTGCTAGTCCTTTCTAGAGGGACAAAATGAGAGGGTATAGGTCACTGCTGGGACTCTGAGGGTCGTGTCTCCATCCTAACCCTAAACTGAGCAGAGACTGCTTGACGCTTCCTCTGATAGCCACCTCGGCTGCTCAGAAGAGTTTTGGGAGTGCGTCCATCCACTCTAGCCCTCATCAAAAATCCCTTCCTTTCTACTGCAGGTTATAAGACCCTCCTCAAGTGCCTATCGGGTAAATTCTGCCGCCGGGAGCTGATTGGCATCATGGGCCCCTCCGGGGCTGGCAAGTCCACATTCATGAACATCTTGGCAGGATACAGGTGAAGATGAGGCTGGGCGCAGGACTCAGGAAGGGGGCACAGAAGGTGTTCCATGGTGACTTTGGCCCTCACCCAACCAATGTCCCCGCAGGGAGTCTGGAATGAAGGGGCAGATCTTGGTCAACGGGAGGCCAAGGGAGCTGAGGACGTTCCGCAAGATGTCCTGCTATATCATGCAGGACGACATGCTACTGCCGCACCTCACGGTGCTAGAAGCCATGATGGTGAGGGCTGGACGGTTTTCCCCTTCCCCAGCCCCCTCTCCCATCTGCCCCCTCGCCCTCCTCAGGGAGGGCATGGCTGTGCTCCTCTCACACCTTTCTTGCCCGCTCGGGGCCCTAGGTCTCTGCCAACCTGAAGCTGAGTGAGAAGCAGGAGGTGAAGAAAGAACTGGTGAGCGAGGAGGAGGGGTGAGGGGCCGGCCGGCCTCTGGGAGGCTCCCGAGCTCCGGAGCCCTTCGGGGCAGCCAAGTGGGCTTAGGGGAGCTGCTCTGTGAATTCAGGGTGGTGCTGGGGAAGCAGATACTCTGACGCTGACCTGGGTGCGGTGGGCGCGGGTCCAGGTGACAGAGATCCTCACAGCGCTGGGCCTGATGTCCTGCTCACACACGAGGACAGCCCTGCTCTCTGGCGGGCAGAGGAAGCGCCTGGCCATCGCCCTGGAGCTGGTCAACAACCCACCTGTCATGTTCTTTGATGAGCCCACCAGGTAGTTCTCCCCGCTCTCGCACCGGGATTCCCCGCTCCCCTCAGCCCTGAGCCTCGGCTGGAGCTGTGTCTTCTCTGTGGCTGGGGACAGCGCCTCCCCTGCGGCCTCCAGGGGCCCAGATCAGCACTGCCTCCTCTCCTTGCCTCCAGCCTTGCCAATCCTACCGCAGCCAGCAGTCCTGTCGCTCACGCAGGCGGAGCTCCGGCTGTCCCCTTGATTGATGCCTCCCTCTCCTCCCCCAGAGTCCTTAGTCCCCAAGTCCTATAGATTCTACCTCCTTTCGGGGGCTCTTAGATTTGCCCTGCCCCTTCTCTAGTGCCTGTGCTTGGGTTCAAGACATCTTCAACCCTTTCATCTGCCAGCCCCTGTCTCACACAGCCAGTCCTCCCTCCAGACAACAGCCAGAGTGGACTTTCTAAAAGACAAGTCTGGCGAGACTTCCCCCCGGCTTCAAAGCATGCAGTGTGTCCCATTTGCCCTCAGAATGGCCAGGCAGCTTACAAGGTCCTGGTTGGAATCTGTTTGCCCAACCTCCTATCTTATATTTCATGCTCTAATAGCACTGAGATTCCCTAGCCAAACCAGGTGCTTCATGTCTCTGAGCCTGCACTGCCGTCTTCCCCCCGGAACACCCTTCATCCATCCTCTCCCTTCCACCTTCACCACCTTAGCTCTTACTTCTTCCAGACGCTAGAAGGCTTCTCTGACTATTCTCTACCACCCTGCTACAAGCATGGCTGATTTCCCACCTCTTTCACTTGTGTTGCCATGGCACTTTCTGGACTCCCTAAAATCACCTGAGTTTGTCTGTCTCTCCTTCCTGACCAGTCTTATATATGCATCACTGTAATTTCCAGTACCTGATACAACAGGTGTTCAGGTGGTACACCCCTGTAATCCCAGCACTTGAGAGGCTGAGGCAGGAGGATCAATGTGAATTTAAAGCCAGCCTGGGCTATATAGTGAGATACTATCTCAGAAGAGAGAGAGACAGAGAGAGAAAGAGGGAGAGAGAGAGAGAGAGACAGAGACAGAGACAGAGACAGAGACAGACAGAGAGAGAGAGAGACAGAGAGAGAAAGAGAAAGAGAAAGAGAGAGAGAGAGAAAGAAAGAAAGAAAGAAAGAAAGAAAGAAAGAAAGAAAGAAAGAAAGAAAAGAAAGAAAGAAAAAGAAACCGGGCATGGTACTGTATTCCAATCATCCCAGTACTTGGGAGGCTGAGGCAGGAGGATCGTTGTGAGTTCAAGGCCAGCTTCAGCTACAAAGTGAACTCAAGGCCAGCCTGAACTGCATAGTGAGACCCTGTCTCAAAAAAAGACAAAAAAAAAAGAACGAAAAGAAGAAAAGAGAAGTTGATAAACAAATGCCTGACCCGCACAGAGTACAGGATATGGGGTTGGCCAAAGGGGCTTCTTCCTGCCAGCTCCATCCCCTTCACAGCAGCTGCCCCGCCCACCCCAGAGACTCCCTCCTGTTGGCCCCACCCACCTCAATGGGCATCCCTGTGGCCTTTCTCTGGACAGTGGTCTGGACAGCGCTTCTTGTTTCCAAGTGGTCTCACTCATGAAGTCCTTGGCTCACGGGGGCCGCACTGTCATCTGCACCATCCACCAGCCCAGTGCCAAGCTCTTTGAGATGTTTGACAAGGTGAGTGTCTCTGGGCCCTGAAGAAGACTGACCTGAGATGGCACAGAAAGGAGTTGGGAGAGATGCTGGAGGGACCACTTCCTGCCCACTGGTTGCATTTTTGTTTTGAAACAGGGTCTCACTGTGCAGTTCAGGCTGGCCTTGAACTCATAGCGATCCTCCTGATTCAGCCTCTGGAGTGCTGGGATTATAGGTGTGCACCACCATGCCTGGCTAGTTGCATTTTTCTTACCCGTCCTTTTCTGCTGCAGCTCTACATCCTGAGCCAGGGTCAGTGCATCTTCAAGGGCGTCGTTACCAACCTGATCCCTTACCTTAAGGGGCTGGGCTTACACTGCCCCACCTACCACAACCCAGCTGACTTCAGTGAGTGTGCCAGTGGGTGCCAGGATGCGGTGGGGACCTGGATCTGGGGCCTCCCCTGGAGCAGGGAGCTCACTGCCCCTCCTGCCCTCCCCACATGCCCGGGAGAGAAAGGTGAGGCCCAGCTGAGCATCGGCTCTGTGTCCCCAGTCATTGAGGTGGCCTCTGGAGAGTACGGAGACCTGAACCCCATGCTGTTCAGAGCTGTGCAGAGCGGGCTGTGTGCCATGGCTGAGAAGAAGGGCGGCCCGGAGAAGAACGAGGTCCCTGCCCCCTGTCTCGCTTGCCCTCAGGTGAGTCATGTGGAGTGGGCAGAGGGGCGAAGGGATGTGGACAATGGCCCTGCCAAAGGGCTGTCCCCTTGAGCGGGGGAAAGGCATCAGACTTGGCACAGAATGACCAGGAACACTCATGTGACCTTGGGCCTCCGGTTTTCTCACCACTTACTTCCTCGGCAAACTCTTACGACCACCTCTAGTGCACTGTCCTCAGAGCTTCACGGGCCATTTGGTGAGCATGCTGGCACAGCTGCTGGCCTTGTGACTAGTGTGGCCTCCTGTCCTCGCCACCTGGGCAGTGATGACACTCACCTCCCAGGGGTGCTAGGGGACCAATTAGATAATCGCCAAAAACTGTGCAGGCCGCTGGAGCAGCAGGTGCTTGTCCAGTGCCCGGTCTCTTTAGATGAGACCCAGTCACCCTTGAAAAGCGGGGCCTTTGTCACTGATGTGATTATTAAATAGTTTAGTGAAACTAGTGGCCTAAGGGTATCCCCCCTTCTTTTTATTTTCCAGTACTGGAGCTGGAACCCAGAGCCTTTCCCCTGAGCTACACCCCCAGCACTTTTTTATTTTGAGACTGGGTCTTACTAAGTGACTAAGCTTCCCAAGAGTGGCTCAAACTTGTGATCCTCCTGCCTCAGTCTCCCAGAGCACTGGAATTACAGGCATAGACCACTGTGCCTACCGACAGCTCCCATAACACAAATACTGGGGATTTGAACCCACAGCCTTGTGTTGAGCAAAATCCCCAGCCCTTAAAAAAAAATGTTTTTTTTAAATTTCAAGACAAGGTCTCATTAAATTGTCAGGTTGCCCAAATTAGGCTGGAACTGGTGGTCCTCCTGCCTTAGCTTCTAGGGCCTCCTACAGCCCGGTTCCCAGGCACATAGCTCAGTGATGGAGCTTCTCCCTCTGTGGCCTGCGACCCCTGCTTTGGGAAGGGCTCAGGGGTTTCTCCGCTCACCGATCCAGGCAGGCAGTGGGCAGTGGGCAGGAGGGGTAGGCTCACCTGGACCCATTTCCTCTCCCCAGGAAGTGGATCCCATTGAGAGCCACACCTTTGCCACCAGCACCCTCACCCAGTTCTGCATCCTCTTTAGGAGGACCTTCTTGTCCATTCTCAGGGACACGGTAAGGCGTCAAGTTGGGGGACAGGAGGAGCAGGCCTGGCTTTTTGGGCTGTCGGGTCATAGCAGGCGGGACGGGAGCTGGGACCCTTCCCCGCAGCCCTCCAGTGCCCCTGTGGTGGATCTGAGTTCCCACCCTGTGGCCCCTGGCCTGAGACATCCTGCTTCTCGTCGCCACCCCTCCCCAGGTCCTGACCCACCTGCGGTTTGTGTCCCACGTGCTGATCGGCGTGCTCATTGGTCTCCTGTACCTGCACATTGGCGACGACGCCAGCAAGGTCTTCAACAACACCGGCTGCCTCTTCTTCTCCATGCTGTTCCTCATGTTTGCTGCCCTCATGCCAACCGTGCTCACCTGTGAGCAGAGCTGTCCGGGGGCGGGTGTGGGCACTGGGTAGGAGGCAGGGCAGGGGTTGGCCAGCAGCACCCTGTCCGCCTGTGTCCTCAGTCCCCTTAGAGATGGCAGTCTTCATGCGGGAGCACCTCAACTACTGGTACAGCCTCAAAGCGTACTACTTGGCCAAGACCATGGCCGACGTGCCCTTTCAGGTGAGCCTTCGCACCTGCCTGCCTTCTGTTCCCCCAGCTGGCTCCCAGCCCCTCCACCTTGCCATGTTCACCCTTCTTCTTGCTTGCAAACAGGTTTTGGTACGCTTCATGCTGGGCACTAGGGAGACAGCAGCAGACTAGACTGATACAGGTTTTTGTCTTTTGTTTTCTTGAGACAGGGTTTCACTATGTAGTTCAGGCTGGCCTAGAACTTGTGTTAATCCTCCTGTCTCAATGTCTTGTCTCAGTGTCCTAAGTTCTGGGATTGCAGGTGTGTGCCACCACACCTCGGGCCTTTTTTTATTTTGAGACAGGGTCTCACTAAATCACTAAGTTTCCCCGTCTTGGCTTGAACATGTGATCCTTCTGCCTCAGCCTTCCAGTGCTGAGATTACAGGTGTGTGGTACCGTGCCAGTAATGTAAAACTCTTAGACTAGCACTCAGCACATACGGGTGCCCCAGACATGTTAGCTGGTTTTTTTGTGGTTACCAGTATTGCCTGTTCCAAGCCCATCACACAAATGTGCACCTCCTCAGGGTGGGCAGTGCCATGTGTGAGGCCATAGCATTTAGTGGGAGGAGCATAAGCTACATCTTGGCCTCTGGTTGCCTCAGGTTGGATTTCTTTGTGCAGGGACCAGCCTGCAGAACTGTGTATAATGCATTCCACCCCTGTCCCCAGTGGTTGATAATCTCTCCGTTCAAAAAAAGAGTGGCCGGGCATGGTGATGCATGCCTGTCATGCCAGTGATGGAGAGGCTGAGGCAGGAGGATTGTAAACATGAACCCAGCCTGGGCAACTTAGCAAGACTTTGTCATAAAATAAAGAATAAAAGGGGCTGGTGATGTAGTGCAGTATGAAGGTTCTGGGTTTAATCCCCAGTATTGCCAAAATAAATAAATAAAGAATTAATTTAAAAAATAATTTTGAGCTGGATGCAGTTCAGTGGGAAAGTGCTTGCCTAGCATCTATGAGTCCCTAGATTCGATCCCCAGCACCACAAAAACAAAGACAGGCCAAGCATGGAGGCAAATGCCTATAATCCCAGCACTCAGAAGGCTAAGGCAGGAGGATTGCTAAGAGTTTGAGGCCAGCCTGGGCTACATATTGAGATCAAGGTTAGCCAGCCTGAACTACATAGTGAGATCCTATCTCAAAAACAAAACAAAACAAAACATGAACAAAAGAAGTAAAGAACCAGCTCCCCCAGAATATGATAAATCATGGTTTCCATTTCAGGTTTATAAACTGATATTATGGATACATACAAATAGTAAGGTGAAGCAAATTAACATGTCTTTCAATACTTTCTTGTTTTTTGTGTGTGTGTCTTTTTGAGACAGGGTCTCGCTATGCAATTCAGGCTGGTCTTGAGCTCACTTTGTAGCCCAGGCTGGTCTTGAACTTGCGGCTATCCTCCTACCTCAGCCTCCTGAGTGCTGGGATTATAGGTGTGCACCACCATGCCTGCCTATCTTTAAATATTTAACTTACATTTTTGTGATAAGAGCAGCTAAGATGTTTAACAAAGATTCCTGATACAATGCAATTTTATTTATTTATTTATACAATGTAATTTTATTAACAACAGTCCCGCCTTACATATTAGCTCTCTAGAGTTGCTGATCCTACCTGTCTGTTTCTTTGTGTCACACGGTTGATAATCTCAAGGGGAAGCAAACCACTATGCCAGGGAGAATTAATTCATTGCTGATGTAAGGAAGACGCTGGTTCAGACGGCAAGGCCTTGAGGTGCTCTGAGAGTGAGCCTCAGGGAAGAGGAGCTCATAGGGTCACGGAGGGAGGGGAGGCGTGTCAGCCTGGGCGCAGCAGGAGCAGGAGTGCAGGCACGGCAGGCCTGCACGCCTTGGGAACAGGCCTTCTAGTGGTTCATTCCCAGCTGAGGGTTTTAGGCCTGTGGCCCGGGTTCACCAGCCCTGCCCAGCCCTGTGCCTGCCCTCCAGGTGGTGTGCCCGGTGGCGTACTGCAGCATCGTGTACTGGATGACGGGCCAGCCAGCCGAGACCAGCCGGTTCCTGCTCTTCTCAGCCCTGGCCACCGCCACCGCCTTAGTGGCCCAGTCTCTGGGACTGTTAATCGGAGCTGCCTCCAACTCCCTACAGGTGGGAAGGTTGGCGTGTGAGGACTCACAAGCAGGGGGAGAGTCTTACGGGAGAAACAGGGCTGGTATCCTGGGAAACCCTGGGACCACCTTAGTCCTGGTCACCCCTGTGATGGCCTGGCCCCTCTGCCTTCCCTCTAGGTAGCCACCTTTGTGGGCCCAGTAACTGCCATCCCCGTCCTCTTGTTCTCTGGATTCTTTGTTAGCTTCAAGACCATCCCCACGTATCTGCAGTGGAGCTCCTACCTCTCCTATGTCAGGTGGGTGCTTTGTCCCTCCAGCCTGCCCGTGCCGCTCCCCTCCAGGAGGCCCTGCCCAGTGCTTCCTCGGCTGTACCAGGTCTGGTGCCGTCATCTTTTGGGCAGGGGTACCCTGGCTGGCCACAGAAATGAGGATGATGCAGCTGTGCTCTGGCAGTTTCCTTAGGGAATGGGGACCATGTGCTCAATGTCCTGCTCTGATGCCCCTGCTTACCTAGGTATGGCTTTGAGGGGGTGATCCTGACCATCTACGGCATGGAGCGTGAGCAGCTGTCATGCTTAGAGGAATCCTGCCAGTTCCAGGACCCGCGGAGCATCCTGCAAGCGCTGGATGTGGAGGATGCCAAGCTCTACATGGACTTCCTGGTCTTGGGCATCTTCTTCCTGGCCCTTCGGCTGCTGGCATACCTTGTGCTCCGTTACCGGGTCAAGTCTGAGAGATAGAGTCTTGCCCTGGCCTTGCCCAGCCCCCGCAGCAGAAAACTCCCAGCCCCAGCCTTTTGGGGCTGTTTTAACCTTGTAGACTTGGGCACTGGTGGCCCTTGAATGCTCCAGACTGGCTGTTGGACTGCACTGCCGGCCGCTAGCTGCCAGCCACGGCCCTGGCGTGGGGACTTCGGGCCACCCGCCACGCCCAGGAGCCTTTCCAAGTTCGTGCACTTTGTAGCTTCCTCCCTCACCACCACCTGCATGCAAAGACCTCTGGGAGGCTGCCACCCTCCTTTCTGTCTGTGGTGCCCCCTCTGTTGTCTGCCTGGGAGCTGCAGCATCTTTGGGCCTCCACTTACAACTGACCAAAGTGGCCCCCTACTGGGGTCCCCGCTGCACCAGTGTTTGTAAACCGGGCTGCTGCAAGGTTGGAGTTCCAGGGCTGGGCCCTGGTGGGGTGCCCCGGGCGTCTTGTCCTGGATGTGGTGACTGAGTGGGGAGGGACTCTGAAGTCTCTTCTTCCTCCTACCTCTCTCCCACTCCCAGGCCCTGGCTGACATGGACAATCTTCGGGGACAGAAGCTGGATTTTCTGTCTGGGCCACCACTCCCAATCCTGGTGATTGGAGAGGCCCTGGGGTGCTCCGTCCCACTCCGTATACTTTTGGTTCGGGGCAGGGCTGGGGGCATTCTGCAATACTGTCTGTGATTCTCTCCCACTGGCCACTGAAACTGGAGAGTGCACTTTATTTTGGAGGGTGACTGGGGGAAGACCCAACCCTCCCTTCTTGCTGCTCCTAACATAGGGTTCCATACGCTCCCTCCCCTCTCAGAGTTAGGGCCCTACCTGAAAACAGGCGATCTCAGCCCTCTACAGGCTCCACCTGGATGGCACATAGGAAGAGTGGAGGTGGCGTGGTGGTGGCAGTGGGTGCTGCGGGGAAGTGGTGTCGACCTCCTCCTGGGGGTCCCACATTGGAAGTGCTAAGGATGAGGCCGGTGCTGCCCAGGGGGACTCCAGGATCTAGAGGTGTCCACCCCTCAGTCTTCCTCCTGAGCCAGGGGTGGGACCGGGCAGGCAGGAGCCTCCTGGAGTCATTCAGGAGCCAACAAGCACAAGCATAGGCATAAGTTGGCCGTGGCCCCTGCCACCCCACAGCTCTCCTTTTGTGCTCTAAGCTGGCATTCTCACTCTCCTACCCCTGCCCAGCCACCTGCCCTTCCCATCAGCAGGTGGCCCCTGGGCATCAGAACAACAAACCTTGGGCACGAAGGTGGCAGACACTCCTAGAGCATGTCTGACTCTCCTGGTGGGCCCAGGATCATTCTGATTTCCCCTCCCCAGGGCTTTCCCCTTACTCCTGTACACACACCTCTCCTGCTCCCCTGATTCTCCTTACACAGAGATACCAGTTGTATTGGTGGGATTTCACTCATTATTAATAAAACCTATATTTATACAGTATGCAGTGTGTGAGTGAATCTGCCGCCTAGTTCCACAGGCTGTGAGGGAGGCTCTTGGCAAGAGGTTCGTCAGCTTCAGGGAACCTGTGGCAGGCAACAGTAAGTCCTAGGTCAATCAAGTGAGGGAATGTAGGTCCAATGAAATATTTGTATCATGCTTTCCCCACCACAACGCTTCATGGTCATCATTGCAAGGAGGGTCCACACTAACCCTGCGGTGATCCCATTGTGTGGATGAGAGGACTGAGGCTTGGGTTAAGGAATCTGCCATGAGCCCTCAGCCAGTGGAGATGGAGCCAGGTCTGGAGGCCAGGTCTTCTGCCTCCTACTGCTGTTCTTGGCATTGGTTGGCACCCCTGTTCACAGTGCCTCATACCGCCTGTGATGTCCCGTGTCTGTGGCATGTTGTGTTCTTGCTTGAGTGATACATGCCTGGTTCTTCAGTGCTTAAAGGGGGCAGGGTGCGTCTCCATGATCAAGAAGGAAACCCCATCCTGGAATGTGAGTAGCATGGGCCTCACTGGGCTCACTCTGCTTTTTCTCCTTTTATTCCCTGCTTTTTTCCTGCCAGGTCACACTTAGCAGGGCCAAGCCATTACCCACCAGGACTGCAGGCCCTGTGTTTGGAAGAGGTCAGGGTCCAGAGGGTCTTGAGGGCTGGTGGCAGGATGATCTGAGAAGCAGCACATTGTCTCTACTCTTCTGGGCCTGAAGCTTGGGAATTGAAGGGAGGGACTGGCACCAGCCCTGCCAGCCACCTGGAACACCCTACTTGTGCCGTCTGTAGAGTAAGTTCTCTGGTCTAGACTAGAGTTCAGTCTATGACAGGTCAAGTGCTGGGCTAGAGATGGACTAGCTTTGTTTCTTCTGGAAGTTTGGGCTGAGAGTAGGAAATGGGAAGAGGTCAGAGTTCTCGTTCTAGAATTCTAGCTAGCTTTAGGGAAAACTTTTAGAACCCCTTTTTCCCTGGAATGGTGCCAGTAGATGGGTCTTTGCTTATTTGTTTCTTTATTTTGAGGCAAGTTTTCGGTATGTAGTTCAGGCTGGCCTTGAATTTATTGTGATCTTCCTGCCTTAGTCTTCCAGAGTGCTGAGATTACAGATGTGTGCCACCATGCCTAGCTCAGTAAAAGGCTCCTTACAAGTCAAAGGGCACAAAAGACCATCAACCAGTCTTTCTGCAGGTCTCATCTTTATCCTTTCTCTTTTAAAATACAAATACTTGAGGCAGAAAAAGCAGAACTGAATTCAAGGCCAGGCTATCACAAACAAACAAACAAACAAACAAACCCCTAATAAAACAAAGCCCCCAGAAAAATCCAAGCAAAAAACATCCAAACAAATAGCCAGATATGATGAAGCATGCTTGTAATTTCAGCTACTCTGGAAACTGAGGCAGAAGGGTAGCCTGGGTAACTTGGTGAGAATTTATCTCCAAATAAAAATTGAAAAATGGGCTGGGTCTGGGCATGCAATCCCAGCATCTGGGAAGCTAAGCCCTGAGGATTTCCATGAGTTTGAGGCCAGTTTGGGCTACATAGTGAGTTCAAGTCCAGCCTGGATTACAGAGCGAGACCCTGTCTCAAAAAACAAAGGAATAATGAATGTGGTTGTTGTGTGTATCTAAAATGTACCAACAAAATCTAATTTAAAAAGAAGTGGAGCCCCAGAAACAACAGCAAAAGCTAACCAAACCAAGCCAAACCAAAACAATGGGCTGGGGATGTAGCTCAATGGTCACATGCCCCTGTGTTCCATCTCTAGTAACACACACACACACACACACACACACACACACACACACACACACAGCAAAAGCTGCAAATACTGCTGGAAGTGTTAAACATTTACAAAGTCACACAATTATGTTTCCTAGGCAAATAGCTGCTCTGGAGCCAGCAACAGTCCTTCTGGCACAGAGAACATTTGTAGAATGGTTCACAATTTTGCAAAAAGAGCTTTTATGGTTCCCACAGCAACCCCAAGAGGCAGCTAGGATGCTGAGGTAGGAGAATCACCATGATCACTATCACTTCCTTCTTTTGATATAGGAAAAATATAATTCCCTTTGCTATGCTGCCCTGCCTTAGAGCCAGTCAGATATGCTAAGTTCATGGTCTCATAAGATCAAGGAATGAAGTCACAAACAAAAGGAGCAAGTTAGGAGAGTTTTATTGGAAGAAAAGAGAAGAAAAATGGCTCCTGGATTTCCAGGAGGGGTCCTGGGTAGCCACTGGAGGGGTAATTTATACAGCAAAATCACAGTGTGGGTACAATACAGGTCAGACCTACAGGATTACAAATGTAGTCACTTGATATTGATCCAATAGGGAAATGAGTCACACAGCATGTGTACATGGAAAGAACAAAGGAATTTTGGGGAAGGGAGATGTTATGGCTTGTATCTAGATGTCCTCCCACAAAGCCTCTTGTGCTCATAAATGGGGCTTTTCAGAGGTGGCTGGATCTAGGGTGTGTGTATGTGGACTGAGGGCATATGATAACTAAATTAGTCTACTGAAAAAAAAAAACACATTATGGGGCCGGGGATGTAGCTCACTGGCATAAGTGCTTGCCTGGCAAGCCTGAGGTCATGAGTTCGATTCCTGGTACCAAAAAAAAAAAAAAAATTAGCCCATTGATTGGTTTAGCATAATTCTGGGTGTGATAATGGGAAGGCCCACCCTGGATGTGGGTGGTGCCACCCAATAGGCTTATAGCCTGGATGGGATAAAAAGGAAAGGAAGGCTCACTGCTGGCACTGCTTCCTGCCTGCCCCGCCATGGACTGTTCCTCCTCTGCCAGGCTGCCCTGCCTTGGAGCCAGCTAACTATGAACTGAAACCTCTACAAGCTGAGCTAAAATAAACCTTTCCTCCTTTAACTTGTGTCATGTGTTTTGTCCCAGCCACAAGAAAAGTAACTAAGATGGGAGGGGAGTATGGGTTTGGATGTTTTGATCACCCACCTATGTGTCTGATGCCTAGCTGGGTCCACTGGGCCTGGGGGTGCTAATTACAGTATAATCTCAAGTTGCTGTTTATTTTGCAGGCCTGGCTATTGCATCTCCATCCTGAGGCCTGGCTCTCCTTAGATTTATCTCTAGCCACAATTCTGATGTCTACTTTTTTTGTGATGACTTCCTTGAGGGCCCAATCCCTCTCTGACTGTATATGAATTTTTATCTGACTTAGCTGCCTATAATACTTTCAGACAACGGAAACCAGGGTCGAAAGAAATTACCTGAGCAAGCTCTCAATGCACTGTGCTCTTGCTATTGGTAAGCCACACACTGTGCCTTCCACTGGGCCCATAATCTGCTAACCTGGAGATAAATGTGTTTGCCATCTAGGTATATTTCCCTAAGCATCGCCCTAAGTGTGACAGTGTTTCCCAGATTGCTGCTGGGACTTGGTCATCATGCTCTTTAACACAACCCCATGCTCCATGCCGGGACCTGTGCAGAGTGATGAAGGTTGGAGTTGACCAAGGCAATTCTTCATGCTATGGCTCTTAGGGCTCCTGGCGCCCCATCCTGAGGTCAGACACCAGAGGACACACCTGCAGCATGACTCACAGCATGTTTCTGTCTGCAAGAGACCAGTCAAATTATATGTTATTAATAAAATTTACATGGCTGTCATACCCATGGGGGAGGGGAACACCTTACTCTGAGGTACATCCAGTAACTGCAGCCAGGTGACTGCCTGACTCCAGCCAGGTGACGACTGCTTGGCAGGGCTGGGTAAAGGGAGTGATCCTAGAAGAGTCTTCCAGGCCCAAAATGTTACCCTGAGACCACAGTGATAGCTTGCTCTAATTCCCCTTTTTCACCTCACGCTACTCCCCTCAGAAAACTTCCCTTAAAATGTGAACGTGCCATGTTCCCCTGAATTTCTCTTGCAAAGTTGCCCCAGATAGCCTTGAACTTGGACCCTCCTGTCCTACTGTCACCCCTTCTGTCTACCCTGACTTTTTTTTTTTTTAACATCCAGCTCAAATGTCATTTCTTCTGCCAGAGGCAGCTGCTTCCTCTTCTGGGCTTTCCTACCACTTTGCCTCTGAGGCACATGATTTGTAGACCCGGCTCGGTGAGCAACGCAGGGCTTAGTGCTGGGGCTTAGACCTGAGGTTTTGGGCCCTCAAAGCCCCCACCCTGTGCCACATAAGGAACACCCTGGCCTCACATAGCCCAGGTGAGGAAGCCCTGGTGAGGGTAGGTGCTCTATACCAGTCCAACATCACATGTTGAGTGAATGGGCAAATGCCTAGATGAGACACCAACATTGTCTTTAGCTGGGATGGTGCAGACCACAAAGCCTTCTTGCCAGCCCTGCCCTGGGGAGCCGGGGAGTTCCGTGTTGCACACCTCTGTTCCCTGCATGTTGCACACCTATGTCTGCACGTGCAGGCGTGCCTTAGTTGTGGGAGGTAGGTGCTTCCTCTCTCTGGGCTACGTGAGCCCTGGGTGTTCCTGGTGTGGCATAAGGGTGGGGCTTTGAGAACCTGAAGCCTCAGACAGGAAAAGCAAGTCAGTGAAGGAACTGTCCTTCAACCCCATTCTTCTGTCCTCACCAAAGTGACAAGCTGCATACAGAGATCTGGGGCCTGGAGAGGGCCAGGTACAAAAAGGGGGACCCAGGAAGGGCTCTGGTATTTGCCTGGAGGCCGACTGTGGAAGTGACTGGGTGGGGGTGAGGTGGGAAAGGACAGAGTTAGGGGGAAGGATGCCCTGGGGATGGGGATTTCAGGAAGGCCGTGGGATGAGGTAGGAAGGCGCGGATCCCAGATTCTGTTTCTGGCTCATCCACTTCCCAACTGGGTCAGCCTGCCAAGTCATTTCACCCTTCTGAGCTTCAGTGTCTTCATCTGTAAAATGGGCGTATCAACAACCCAGCCTGAGAGGTGGTGAGTGAGGTCATTGCCCGGATTAGCGCTTGGGAACCTGCAGGGGGCAGCACCGGCGGCAGGGGCGCGCGGGTGCCAAGTCTGTGTCCTGGAGCGGGCGGAGCGGGCGGAGCGGGCGGGGCGGGCGGAGCGGGGCGGGCGG